AGATTGTACATGTACCTATCAGCTCCTGTCTTCTTGTTGTACACTCATTGACCAAGTCTTCAAGGATGACACCTTCTACTACTTTGGACCTGTTAGTTAATTTAAATCAGCAATAGTTGTTTAACAATGAAAGAGCCAATTATCATATTTCAGATAAATTTTTTGGGAGATTTTTAGCTCAAGTTATGGCATCTTAAGAATAGCTGGATCAGGGTTATTGAATTTCTAGCCTTGTGATTGGCTAGCAGCTTAATGAAAAAATTTCCCTCAAAGTAATAAGCCTTCCATCGCACAAGGTCAATGACTACTTTTACTCAGATTCCAAACCAATTGGCAACTGGGTGAAGGCTGCCTGTGTTTTGTAACTTTGCTCTGGGGAAAAATACATTTTTTCACTATTTTTTATAAGAATTCTAATTGATATTCATTGTGTAATATCAGCCATAAAAACAAGCAATTTTTCCACATCCTCGAGTAATTTTCAAGTTCTAGTGAAACAAAAAATACGAGCATACAAATTTAATAGTTAAAAAAAAAAACAGATGAAAATGTAACAGGCATCTTCTCAAATGTAGTGGATGATCTTTTCCATAGGTCTTGTCAATTCTTGCAAATGTTGGTGTAAATCCAAGGTTTTGACAGAGCCATAGGAATTCGCTTGCAGCCTCACAGTTGACATGTTTAATGCTACACTGTTCAGGTCATTTTTTGCAAACATTTTCTTCAGTTTATCATTTTTTAATTTCCATATAAATTTTTACCTTGTTCCTTCTTTACAACTGGATTTTAACTTTTTTATGACAACAAAATTTTCCACATTCTTTGCCATCTATCATCCATTCTGTAGACCTTATCATTTCAACCATTCTCAGGAATTATTTTTTTTAATTTTTCAGGGGTACACATTCCAATAAATTATCTCCCTTAGATGAAAGTTTTGGCCAGATATGTGGTTTGTGAAGAATGTAATATACTGTTCCTACCCAAATGTGTTATCTTGATGTAAATACAAAAAAGAGCATTATCAATATTTTGAAAATCAAGATGCCATACTGGTCACATGTTCCTCTTTAATGTAAACAACAACAATAATCAAACAACAAACACTCCAACCATTTTTACCTAATTTGACTTAAAACTCTGGTTGGATTTGCTCCCATTCTGAAAAAAAGAAGGAAAAATCCGAAGACATTTAGGTATTGACAGTATAACTTTGTATCGATAATTCATTATCCAAAACTTTTTTCAATGATAGCACAATGCTTGGACTGTTGTCATTTTTTCAACACAGATTTAAATTGAAAATAAGAGCCATAAATGTTCAAACTACAATTGCACACTAAACAATTTTAGAAAACCTGATCACTCATCTATGAAAAAGCTTGAAGAAGGAAAGGTACTTTTTCCATTCAAAATCTAAATACTATAATACTAACATTGTTTACATCACTTAAGATACTGACAGTGCTCAAAAAACTACTTACAGTCCAACAGCCTTGTGCTGGAGTGTACAAGTTAATGGTTGATAGCCTCACCTGGTGTGTCAGTAATATTGATGTTTGTATCTTTCCAGTTGACATATGTTGCTGCAGACTAAA